AGTTAGACACGTCCACACAGTAGTTGGTATAGGGCAAACATAGTTGTGTTACAACATTAACCAGCGCACCGCTTAACCAGATCTTGGCAACTTTAGATGCTGCTATTTCGCAGCTCCTGACCTGTTCTACCTCATGACAGTTGCTATATAAAACAAACGTTATGAATACAAAAAGACCCTCATCACAAATTTTACGTTACATCATTCTTTTGTTTGTTTGTAAGATGACCCTGAAATGAAGGCTTCCATGATAACAAACAGCCTGGGTCTCAGATCTGCCACTGACACGTAACTTGATTATAATGTAAATGAAACGGCTTATATACACGTATGTCCTGTAATTTGCTTACATCATGGCATTTGCTTCGTGATGTCATTTTTTCAATCATATTGGTTTGATCAAAATGTGACATTTTAGAATTGCTGGACAAAAATGGCAGCTAAAGGCTTGTATACAATATTGTTTTGGTTTGTCTTTTGACGGGATTGCTGTGTAGGAAGCATTCAGTTACATGTTCTACACATATTCAGCATCAAATAAGCATGTTGTGTTTTAGTGTGTTCGGTATTCATTTGTTGAAATTTGGTGGAAGACTTTGGTAAAAATAGTGCGATTTCCTTCGGTCATTTCTGCCGTGTCTATGTGCCTGTATCTCCGGTCACGGTTCTAAAACTGAGGGTGATATTGAGTTCTCTTCTTGTTTCAGACAACAGAACTCCGCGTCCGGCACCAGCTCACTCACATTACCCTGTTGTTATTGCATCATGTTGAAGAGCAGCAGCCGGTGCCTGTACCTGCGGTTTTTCCGCAGTGCATGAACCCTCCGGAAGTCTTGTCCCAACAACTCTCGTGCTCCCGACGCACATCACGTGGCGGCGCTCGCTGCCTAAGTGCTCCCTGCAGACGAAGTCGCTGGAGCCGGCCTTTCTGTGCCATGCTTACCCCCCCTCCGCGTGGGAAATACGTGATTCTGGCCGCCGATGCCACCGTTGGCTGTGCCCGGTGGCTTTGTTCGGTCAGCGATCCGGACCGTTGCGTTGAGACCTCTGTGCCGACACATCGGGCGATCTGGCTCCACCTGACGTGAATGTGAGTGGAATGGCCCGCTACGTTATTTTTTAGTGCCCTGTTAGGAAGAAATGAATGCGAGCCATCTTTTTGCTGGCGGTCCCAGCGAATGACACCATCTAGAGATGGCGGCCGTTTTTGTTGCTTCCATGCCCATGAATCCATTGCTGTTTTACATTTCCACATGTCCGCTTGTGAGCGTAGTTGAATAAATCTTGTCGTTCAGTGAACAGAATTGCGATAAAATCAAATAATCGCATGAAATTATCCACGGCAGGGAATCAAATTAATGACGAAGTTAGAGGATGCGTTGCGGGCTTTTTCACTTTTCACATCATTTCCAACTTGATATTCGTCACAACGAGTCCGTGTGCTCGTGACCGTACATCTCGACTGGAGTGACGACGAATGCAAATTCACCGCTTCGGGTCACCTTGTGTAAAGAAGGCTTGTTTAACTGTAATTTACAACCCAAAAACTGCCCGACAAGGGTCTACATTTAACCAAAATGGAAGTTTCATATTCACCTGGCCCTCCCCACCTCAGATAAGTATATTGTGCGCAATGATACACCTGTTTTCAGGTGTGTAATCCCGCAAAACCAGCTGAGTGCATAACGAATAACAAATATTACTGAAAGCTATCCACAGATGTACTTATAATCGTCTTGATCCTTCCAGATTCCACCCTATTTTCCTTACAGACTTGGATGAAGTGAAAGGAGTGGATGGAGAAAGAGAACTACGCGCATAATACAGTTTCCATTTATTGGGTCACAATGGTTCGCATAGGTTCCAATCAGGTACGTGAAAATCGCTGACATTGATAAAATGTTTAATGGTCGCCTTGACCTCCTGAGTGGTTACAACACTGCGTGTTCTAAATGTTAGGCCAAGGTGGTAACACGTAAGATGCAATTGAACATCTTTAAAACTTACTGAATCACTCGTTATCATGGGATTCCCTCCATTTGTTGTCGCGATGAGAGGCACATGATCGTTTACACCCTCATTTGTTATTGGTTAAAAACCGTCATGTCATTAGGTATCGAACACATTACAACCCATCTTGGTGCCCCGGATATCCTGCGTGCTGATAAAAAGTATGTCACGTCGCATGCCGCCAATGTATATACATTGTCTGCAGACGGTAAAAAAGCGTCCCCTCTCTTACGAGAGTAGAAGACTCATATCAATGCCTACTCTGCGTGAGAAGAGACTGAGATGCTCTCATTGATCAAAGTTTTATTCAACGTATGCTTTCAATGTCGATCGTGATGAAATTTTGCGCATTAAAACACTGAAAGAGGATATCGTGTTTTAGTGGCCTAGACGTCTTTCAGCACTGCCGGGGTGTGGAGACAATTTGTGGACGATTTGTGGGTACACTTCGCTGCCTCCCAATTTTTGGAAGGGTCCTTCCAGTACCGCTTCTAATGTGCTCCTCGTCCTTACTGCCCTGTCTTTCCTGCATAAAATATTTGACCGCTCACTAAAGGCGTAAGCTCTTCATATGAACTTGATGACGTCATGCAACTGTCAAGCCGAGTTCGCGCAACGCCTTAGTTTTGTTAGTGTCAATAAGGAATTGAATGAGATGCAAAAACGGGTGATTTGAAAACTGATAACGTAATTTTCTACAATTGTGCGTAAGCAAAATTCGATGGGTGTGCGGTGTGAGTTGTGAGTAGAAGTTAGCTTCCTCCATACCTTAGCCGAGGCATGTAGATGAGGCATACACAATTTTGCACAGGTTCCTGTCCAGCAGTATGTTTAGTGGTACGGCTTGTCAATGGGACATGTGACTGAATATCTGTGCTCTGAACATTTTTTTTTTACTGTGTGAAGATGTTCAGGTAACTGCAATTCACACCTGATGCTATAATTTCACTATCAGCATGGGGACAGCATTATTGTCCAAAAAATCACTTCAGAAAAAGGCACGGGAATTTAGTCAGGTTTCATAATGTTTTATTGGACAGGAGCCGTGGAAAAATTCCATTGTGGGGTTGGTTGATGTAGCTTTCGGGGATAAGCCCAGTGCATGACGGCAACGTGCACAAAGTTTCAGGACATTTTTACTTTTAGAGTGCACTTGCCTGGCAGGTAGTGCCACGAATGAAGCACAAGTGCTGCTTTTGGGGCAAGATTTAGACTGATACACCCCATTGACATATTTGGTGTGCCTTGCCAATTAGAAAAAAAGCTAATACCAGAAGCCTAAAGCTGTTTCAAATCAGTACTTTCAAATCTATGTCGATGTCTGTGTACCTTCAAGAGTGCGTATTTGAAAATGCCCGTAAGAAATGCCCTGAAAAGTAAAATAAGGATGCTAGATTCAGGATCATGTTAGTGTTAAAGCCTTGGGAGATTTTGTGGATGTGTGTTCAAACGACTTAGGTTTTGTAATAATTGGAGCATGTGGGGTAAAGCAGAAGCCTAAATTGGGAATAGAACTTGCCCACATCTGGCACAAGATTCAGGATGCCTTCAGGCCTAACATTTTGCTGACACTTGTGCCATAGCTTGTAGCCTAGTTGATTGCTGGGGAGTAATTTCTACTGAGTAGAGTGAGTTGGCGCCCCATAAACAACAAGCTAAACAAAAAACAAGAAACAAGAAAAACAAGCTAACAATCACACAGCCTGCCGGTTTTGTCCGTCTTCTGCTGCGAACGCCATCTAGTTCCTAACGCGGCGAAGTCGCCTCACTGTGACTCCCTCCATCGGCTCCGGAATGCTGCGCCTGGTCTCCGGCGTTTTGCCGTCCTGGCGGACTTCTGACGACATGCATTCTGTGCCATCTGGATCGCAGCCAGGTACCCAAACGGTCCACCGGAAGCCAGCTCCGCGGCGGCGGTGCGCGCGCTGTGCGGCGGAACGTTGGCTACCGGTGCTCGATACCAGCGCTCTAAGATGGCCGCCCACTAACAATATTCGGCGCGTCGCTGAATGGCCGAATGGCGGAAATTACACGCCGGATTGAAAAAAAATCCCTTGTAGTCGTGTACGCGCGGATAAGATTGGCGAGGATTTTTCTAAAACCACACACGGATAAATTTCAAACATGTAACAACAGTGCTCTTTGCCACTATGCGTATTTGCAAAGAGTCGACCACATTTTTTGCTATCAGTAATGCGCAAGACAGCAATAATAGCAAAACAGCATCCGACCGCTTGTATTTCTCGTAATGCCAACCAGAGCGGAATATACTAAAGTATAACACGAGATCACAAACACAAATAACAGCAAAAACACGAAACATCTTGGAAGCATCAGACGTAAGAAATCCAAAGCGCAAGTCGCTGTGGAGATCAACATCGCCCAAGCCCAAACCAGGCTTCTGATGGGGAAACAACGGCGTCACACTAAACGACATCCGGGATGGGTGACGGAGATTCTCCATCGCCGACGAGCCCGCGGCGAGTACGCTAACATTGTTCAAGAGCGCCGCACTGCTGACCCACAACAGCACCAGCTGTGCTTTTGCATGAGCCGGAAGACGGCTGCGGTACTGCTGGCCGAGATCGGGCCGACCAATACCCGGCAATCCAGCAGCTGCTCCACGAGCCAATAGGCGCTGCTCAACGCCTGTCGTCACGCTGAGATACCGTCAGAACAGCAATCTGTCTACACAATTAGTATCGTTTGCTTTCACTCAAGTTGAGCTGAAGCCTTAAAATAAGCAAACGAATTGCTGAATCATGGCGCTAAAACTGCCTTCATTGCTACCTTGTCCTCTTGCTGTTTCTCGTCGAGCCACCTGACTTTTTACGGCGATCTTGCTGCTGTCCAGAATGTGAATTATGACGGTGGGGGGGGGGGGTGGGGGTGGGGAGGAGGGCTGCAATACAGGCAAAAAAGACCATCGTTATAGTCAAGCGTCAACTCCGAGCCCTTACAGACGTCGCCCAAGGACATGGCCTCACCGGTTAGAAGTCGGCCCCGCCCTGCTGCAGCGACCAGGGGCAGTACTGTTCGGCCCAGCTGGTGGTACGCGGAGCCAGGCGGCACGCGGCGCTCGCGCACGTGCCGCCCCCACGTGTGCACCCAAGTGCGAGCCGTTCACGCGCTCCAACACGGGCGTCCCGGCGCGTCCCAGCTCCAGAAACAGGCTCCAGTTTTCCCATGGGATGGCGTAAAAGCACTGCCTGCGGCCGTGGGAGGGGAGAAGGTCAGGACGACGTTATGGTGACCGCAGAGGGGCACATCTGTTGGCGGGCGGGGACGGGGCACAGCTGTGCTGTGTGTGAGTGACGCAACATTTCGAATTCACCTGTCGAAGCATTAAAAACGGGTGCACGTGTAGCCCGAGATCCACGACGTCAACAGCATTACGCAGCAGCACGCCACAAACATACCCTAGACTGGAGGCACAGTCCACCCTGAGCACGTCATGTGTCGGATTACTACGCATCGTTCGAACAGAGGAGACCCGCCGCCTGCCTCAGCCCTGCTCGGAACGTCTCACCTGGTCGCGATCAGCAGCGCTGCACCGCCGGCTGACGCTCTGCACCAATGGCGGCGTCAGCTGGTCTGACACTTTATCTGGACCGTCCTCTCCGTGGACGTGGCATGCCTTCATCAGTCTCCGTCCGCTCTCACCGGCCATAGCTGATGCAGTGGTTCCCGCGCTCACCGGCCAAGGATGGTGTAAAGGCCCCCGCTTACCGTCCATGGTTCGTGTCGACGTCGTCCCCGCTTTCACCAGCCGTAGGCTGGTGCAGCGGTCCCCGCTCAGCGAATGGAGGATGGTGAAGCGGTCCCTGTTTACCGTCGGTAGTTGGTGCATAGACCGTCTGCTCTCATTGGCCGTAGGTTGGTCCCACTCACCGTTCGTCGATGGTGTAGCCGTCCCGTTCTCATCGTCCGTCGGCGGTTGTAGTGACCGTCCGCTCTCACCGTCCTGTAGATGGTGTAGTGACCGTCCGGTCTCACCGTCCGTAGATGGTGGGGTGACCGTCCGTTTCTCACGGTCCGTAGATGGTGTAGTGACCGTCCGTTCTCACCGTTCGTAGATGGTGTAGTGAGCGTCCGCTCTCACCGTCCGTAGATGGTGTAGTGACCGTCCGTTGTCACCGTACGTAGACGGTGGGGTGGTCACCGCGCTCACCGTCCCGTAGATGGTGGGGGTGACCGTCCGCTCTCACCGGTCCGTAGATGGTGGTAGTGACCGTCCGTTGTCACCGTACGTAGAGTGGGGTGGTCACCGCGCTCACCGTCCGTAGATGGTGGGGTGACCGTCCGCTCTCACCGTCCGTAGATGGTGGGGTGACCGTCCGCGCTCACCGTCCGTAGATGGTGTAGTGACCGTCCGCGCTCACCGTCCGTAGATGGTGTAGTGACCGTCCGCTCTCACCGTCCGTAGATGGTGGGGTGACGTCCGCGCGCTCACCGTCCGTAGATGGTGGTGTAGTTTCCGCAGTGGGTGGTCGCCAGCGGCGGGTCGGAGGCCACAGCCCTCGATGAGCACCTTGGTGACGACGCCGGGCCCGTTGTGTCCCCAGTTGTACGGGTCGTAGCCCTCTGTCAGGCGGCTCGCCAGCAGCCGCGGCACGGCCGAGTCGCGGCTGAACTTGAGCACACCCGACGCCACGGCTCGCTCCGACTCCAGGCCTGCACCATCGTCCAGCGCTGCGGCCGTGGCGGCAGACGAAGGTCACGGGCCTGACCTAGATTGGCGGCTGATCGGGTCACGCGCCACTGGGTCCAGCAATCACCGGAGGATGCTGGTTACCCAGTGACGGATCGCAGGTAGCGCGCGAGACAGAGCAGGCCGTGCAGCAAAACAACATGCAACTACTACGGCAACAGCAGCAACTGCCCTATGCCTGCTACACATCACCATAGACAACACAAATCATCATCATCTCCAGAATGGCGGAGCTCGGAGGGGGGCAAGAGGAGGACAAATTGGGTTATAGAGGCTTTTCCCGTCATTAGGCCTCTCTTCGTCGCGTATCGGCCTGATTATATGCTCGGGATTCACTTTGCAGGCATTGGGGGCCACTTTTTGATTTTGTAGAGACATTTTGGACACGGGTGTCTATTTGTTTTCTTTTGTGAGTGTTCTGCCCCCCCCCCCCATGTGGATTTACCCCTTCCCCCAGTGTTAGCTTGGCCTTTCCATATTTTGGGATGGAACATTACAAAAACGTAGAAAAGAGATGACAATTATACAAAGACGATCTTCTTTCATTCTTGTAGTGACGTTGTCCTCCTTGTAGTGGCGTTGCTATGGAGGGTACAGCTGAAGAACTTGAAGCCGCAACCTCAATATTACGTCCCAGTGGAGGGGAAGCTTTAAACATTGGGGTTAACCACCTTATAATTTGAGATTTTCTGTCCGTCAAACGTTAGCTTTTGTCCGCATCCAAGCATGATGCTGGCGCCCCTTATTCTTTGTTGTAATTTTTCAGAGACATCACAACTAAGTTGCAACTTTTTATTTTCATCAATATATAGTTTAAATGATGGATTCAGAGCAGTCAAAAAATGAAAAACCACGCAGAAAAGAAAAATGTTGCCAAGATAGATTTTTGATATGGTTCCATGCCGAACATGGAGCCTCGCTGTCACTTTTGACACACGCCCGGGTGGCCGATTCGACGCCCTTCGCTCGGGTGGGAGGTCAGATTGAACCTCCTGAGATCTCAGGAACTAAGAGAGCTAGAAACACTAAATTCACAGGATGTCTTGACCTGTACGTGAACTCATTGAGGCCAAAGTTTGAAGTTCCTAGGTCATGACCTTCGCGTTGAGTAAGGTCAAACAAGGTCAAATTCCAGGTTAGTTTTCAAAGGGCCCCTAAAACCAAGGTAACTGTTCTATGCAAAAGGGCACACGCTCATTTAAGGTCAGTGACCTTTTTTAGTCTTTAAAGACCATGGTGACTAAGATCAGACGAGACTGCATTAAGTTTTGCATTTGAAAAAGCGACTAAGATTACGTTAGGCAGCATGTTCCTAGAACAAAATGCTGACCCGAGTCATTTTTGGTCAATGACCTGCTGTGGTCTTAAAGAAGTCCGTGAAGGGTGTATAATGTGGTTCCTGTTATGAACAAATTGGAAATGGGCGCCAGAAATCACCTCAGAAAGCAAGCCCCAGTGTAATAATACAAGCTGGTTTTGCCTTTGGTCTAACCTTTATACCTGACCCTAGATAAATGTAACTTGTTCACTCAGTTGTTATGTTACCTGACAAAGTATCTCGGAAAGGTGGGCCTCGTCTAACACTTATTGGATCAGATTGAACGACTCCCTAGAAATTGCCTTCGCTGAAACCATGGCCCGACTTTGACCGACCATAGGTCAGCGACCTTAAAAGGTACATCTCCATTTTTGGTGCCCGACTATTCTCAACTCAATTGTCTACAGCAACGCAAAATTTGGCGCGGCTACGCCGCGCCGTTTGGAAAACCATTTTGGAAAAAAAACCTTCGGGGGGGGGAGGTCAATTTGAGCCCCACCCCTACCCGAGCGTGTGTTAATTAGCCATCCCATAACTGTAATACATCGTCAACAGATCCACTTTACCTCGGCCTCTTATCCGAATAGCATGAAAGGTCATTTAATGTGCAATGCGATTGCACGGCCGTGGGCTGCCCTGTAACCAAGCTTGCACCATCAAGCTAACGGCTAAACGACCCTCGTTGGCGGACCACATAAGACCACTTGTCCTGGAAGACGAACATGCCACGACGCATTTCGCAACACTACGAACGCGGCCAAAATGCTTTGAGCGCTCTGTCGTCGTCAGGCTTACGGCCCGATCATTGGTGTCTTTGCGCAAAAATATACTTTTTGGCGGGCGTTTTTCACCCTGCAGGCAAAAAACTTGTACAAAGACGATGTCTGTAAATTGCCCCTTAATCATTTGTGTCGAATTATGTCACCTGTGACATAAAAAGCAGTCATCCTTGGCTAAACTTTGACAAGCACATGGCACCATTAATTGGAAAAGTGGCATCGTTTTTGACGGCACTGGGCCTTTTGGACAATATTTCGAAACAGTTTGAGATTCATTCGTGTGGCATTTTATTTTTAATTATGTAGCTGCGCTCTTCTACCATTGCAGGAAATTCGACGATTCGAAATCAAATCGGACATTTAGGTTGCAAGGGTTTCAGGTCTCACGTGTATCGCTGTGTGCAGCAGGAAATGGTGAAATTGAATGCTGCGCAATCTTACGCAAATCATTCAAACTTCTTTGTAGGCTGGTCATTTAGCACGCTGAAGAACTAGTTCACGTAAAATTAAAATGACACCTAATATAACATGCATCCATTACAGAGAAATTTACGCGCACCTCAGGCTGTGCAACAAAAATATGATAAACATACATGTAGCGGTTCTATGAATGACACACGCATTTGCTACACCACTATTAGAACAAACTCATCCTCAACGTTGTTTTGACAGCGCACTTTTACTCACGCAATTCAAGCAGCTTGCTTTTAATCTTACTTCTACTCAACTATCAGTCAATATAGGCCGATTGTTGAGCATCCTCAATAATAATCATGGTATTATGCACAATTATTGATGCCATGGCGTAGGTCAAATGCAAAATGTGGTACGACGCCGAATTCAGGCAGACATTTTCCCGCAACGCTCGTGATTCGCACTAAAATTGCACTTTAGATGGAGCAGCATTCTACAAGGGAGGCGCAGCGACCTTCTCCAAGGACGACAAAACCAAACTAGAGTAGACTGTATAATTTACCGAGATGGCTTGGCCTCCAAACCTCGTAACTGTATTCATCAATGCATCCATATATCTATCACCATAATGCAGTCGCCTCATAGAAATGAAACAGATATGTTTGCTTACTGAGCAACGCACATATTAACGCTTTGACAACCCCTACCCTGGCCATGTAAAGTCGTGTTTGCCCCCACCGCCAGATCGCACGTAACAGCTGAGCGCGTAAGCGATCAGCAGACTGCGCAGCTTGAGCCACACGACACACGAACGCCTGACATGTAATGCTGAAAAGCAACGGAGAACGGAAATAACCGAAGTCCTTAATGACTATCCCTGTACCGTATCCAACCAAGAGTACGTGCTGCCGGCCCTGGCCGCCTTCAAAGTGTGCCTTCGGCACGCTAAGGCGGCTTCTAGAGATCTGCCTTCTTCCATATCAGAAGGTGGCTCCAGTTTCGCCTCCTTCCGTGGATTCGTCCCTGCAGGACTGCTATACTGTTAAATTTGAAGGTTTTTAAAATGATAATACAATTTGCAATACAACTGACACTCGTCAGAACAAAGTGTAAGTCCGTTGACACAAAATAAGCGGGGGGACATCATGGGCCACTCGGTTCCCCGAAACAAGCATAAAAATAGACACCCCTATTTGAGAGCGTTTTACAGTAATGTTGCCTTTGACACCGAGAGTGTCTTTGCGACCTCAAATGGGGAGCTTGTCCGCCTGGTCACGCCACAGTACCTCGGCAACTGCTGGACTCGTACCCACCCACGACTCGAAACCATCCCCGTATGACAACAGCACGGACGTCCGTCCCCTCCTGCTCTTCCCCACCCCTCTCCAACTGTCTCCCTCCCTCCCTCCCACTCTCTTCCTCTCTACCTCTTTCCCTCTCTCTTCTCACCGGCCAGTGAGCGGCGTACAATTACGTCCGTATCGAGGTAGATGCCGCCGTGGTGCAACAGCACTGCAACGCGCGCCGCGTCGCTCATGTGGACCGCCGGCCAGGGCGACCGCAGCACGGCGCGACTCTGGTACCACCGCTCGAACGGCGTGTCGGCGAACAGCGACCCAAAGTCGAGCCGCGCCAGGATTGTGTTATTGCGCTCCAGCAGCCGGTCGGTGAGCGCGGAGCGGCGCAGGCGTGGCGCTGCGGCTAGCAACACGACGAGCATGCTCGGGTGCGCGGACGCCGCCGACTCAACGGTGCACCACTCGCGCGGGGTGATGTGGCGCCGGCCCGACGTCTCCAGCAGGAAGATACAGCCGTCGGGCGGGAGCGGCGGCGCCACAGGCACAGTCAGCCAGCGCTCCGAGTCGACGGCCGCAAGAGGAGGCCCGCGCTCAGCGGCGGCAGGGTAGAAGACGGCCACGAGCGCCGGGTCGGGACGCCACCACACCAGCCAGAGCAGGAAGAGAAGCAGCGGCGCGGCGGCGCACAGCAGCAGCCAATGACGTCGCCGGCTGGAGCCGACGCACGCCCACACCCTGCCACACATCGGTACTGCACACGCCAGCGATCCGCCAGCGCCGACGCCGGCGGGAGAGTCGATCGATCGCACCATCTGTGTATGGTAAAAAGTGTCGCTCCTGTGGCCAGCTTGTTTAGGTTCGCTCCGCGATCGCGAGTGTCCTGTCGCCTCTGACGCGTGACGTCACTCGGTGCACTTTACGCCCGGCGATGGTATTGGATCGTCCGTCAGATGTTATCAACACTATGTGCTAGAGACATCCACTGTAACCCGGCACACCTTGTGATCTGTTCAAGCTATGTAGCAAACGCGATGACGCGGACGGAACAAAGTGTGTTTTTCCCACCTCAAAATTCACGATGCATGCGGGGTGCGCTGTGTGCCGTCCGGGCGTTTTTGGGCGCCGGCTGTACCAGCTGGTCACTCGTCCACCAACGGTGCTGTGCCCCTCTGGTGCCGCTGCTGCATTCCCGCCAGACGCGATGGCGTTTCGTCGTTACAAAACTGCTCGCCTGCTCCGATTCTGTACCGTTGCCCCGGTCTTCTGTGTGATGCGGCCCTCTGGTTGGATGGTCATTGCTCCGATCTTCTGTCCTAGCGCGGCCCTCTGGTTGGGTGGTCGTGTCGTGGCTCCGTCCGCGCCCGCAGCACCGCCAGTCCCACCCGGCGCGGCGGTCACGCGCGCACCTGCCGTCCGCCCGTCCTCCGCCGCGCTGGGAGGCCGTCTGTCAAAACACGCACGCAGACCCACTGCTTCATGCAGACCAGCCCCCGCCCCGCTCCCCACCCCGGCCGCCACTGTCGGCGCGCCGCGCGCCGGCGGTGACCTTAGGGGGACAAATTTATTGGACAACCAGAATGCCCACTTTCAGCACCAAATACGCACCCTGATCACCAACTGAGTCAGCAAGCCGAAACGGTCAGTTCATTACCGAAAGGCTATGTCATCACCAATCGTGCAAATTCATTATCAAAATCTGGTTTCATAAGCCGACCAGACTTCAAGGCTACAGGTGAAGGGGATATCATCACCGAAGTGAATCACATCATAACCGAGAGAGCAACAGCTTGTCGCTCTCCGCAGAATAATTGAAATAAACTCCTGGCGATCCCATCCCACCCGTGGCGCTATAGGGGCTTAAGTCGCTATAAATGTGCTCGCAGGTGTACATCTAAGACAATTAGACACGGGCTGAGAGCATTCCAGTGCGAGCCCATAACGTAGGGGTGGTGGCGGGATGGGGTGGACCTCTGTATTCTCGATCTTGGCTGACCTTCTGTGCTCTCGCCTCTCGACAAATTTCGGGGAGTTCAAAGGGCAGATGGACCGTGGCAAGCATCATGGTACAAGCAGCTGTTTCCATACAATTCTGCCGTATGATTGTAATTGCACAATGGCTGGAGTCCCAGAGCACGCACAACAATTCTGCTCAGCGTCAGCTCTCGTCTCAAACTCATCGAGTCAGGTTTTAAAGACAGTGACTGACAAGCAATAAAACATTTTCCCCAAGCCCGTATATGGACTACAGTATGGACGACAGGTAGGATTATCGGGCCACGTCTAAAACAGGGCCCGGGTCTCTTTTAAGGCCCGGACCTAGGGGCCCTGAGGGGCCACTGTTCTTTTCTAGAGTACGGGACTAGTCAGACGCTTATATTGTCTCGTTTTGGATCATTTCTTTGTCATTTCTCGTATTTCCATCCCATGTCAGGCAAGAGGAACTCTAGCAACGCAAGTGACTTCTGACATTCAGGGTCCCGTCCTGTCCCCCTTCAGCAAAATGAGCCTGTGGCCGACTAGGAGCCCCTTGCCGACACAGGCTCCCGTGTTAAGCACTCTGCGCCTTGTTACAGGGAGCCACCTTGTTTCATGAGTCCCACCAACTCAGGAGGCCTTCAGTGACAATCGCGGGCACCGCTCTTGTCGCTGCTTAGTAAATGGATGCCTTCTTCCAAGCCTTCTCAGAGCCAACTGCTCAGCCTCGACAGTCTCGGACCTACATAGAAGCCCGACAGTCTCGGACCTACATAGAAGCCTTCGTCGTCACGGGAGCACCGACAGGCGCAACGAGTCCCTTTGGCTGACCTTTGAGGGCCAGACCTTCAGCCCCGGGGTCGTACCCCGGCCAGCCCTCTGGCCCTCCAATCTGGCCCCTGATAGTCTGTGCCGATGGTCCTGAAGGCCCACTCAGGGCCTCGCGGGAGGATATGTCCCCACCACCACCAGCTGGCTGCGCTCCTGGATGTTTAGGCATGCACGAAACTCAATGCTAGTTAGCGACTCGCTCTCAGAATGCACATCCAATGTGATTTTTGGCAGACGTGTCCCGAAACGTTCACAAGTTGATGCCAGTTTGGTTAGAATATTGCCAGTTTTTGCTGGTGAGCCTAATATTTAGAATCTGGTGCAAAATCTAGATTTTCTACTGCATCTTGGTGATTTATTTCACCTATCTGGTGGAACCTCAGCCCAGCTGGTGGATAATAGTGTTTCTGGACACTTGCCTCGTATATGTGGTGAATTAAGTACTCATTATGGTTATAGAGTTTGTTAAAACGGCGTTCAAAACATCCATATTGGTGGCAAAACTTCAATCGGTGGTAAATTGTATGTTTTGGTGCGGAGGCATACAATTTGGTACGGAGTTTATTTAGCCCTACAGAGCCTATTTTTGGTGACGGGTTAATAAGGAGCCGTGACCTTCCTCTCTCCTGACGTCACTCACGGTATGTGGTCAAACAGGATCGTGACGGCTACGAGAACGGCCATTGTTCTAGAGAGGTTTGCGGGCAGAAATGTCTCTATCAGTGATTAATTCTTGATGCCGCTGCAATCTTGTCCGTTTGGCCCTGGATCGAGATCCTTGTGTTTTGCGTGGTGTTTCGCAACTGGTTCACAGCGGTGAAAACGGACGGTTTTCTAGAAAAAACTTGTGAACAGAAATATTTCTAGAGATAATTTTCGAAAACGCTGCAATCACTTTCGTTTGACCTTAGATCGCGGTTCTCATGTTTCGCGTGGTGCTTTACGCCTGGCGATTTCTGCGAGACGAAATCAAGGTCGGATCCAGGGGAAAGGGGGCAAACGGGCCATGCTTCCCAAAGATGGCTAAAGTTGTTTTTCACAAAAGCTGAGATCTCTATAGTCTAGGCCTAGAAGAAAGCGAGTAACTTTTACTAGGGGGAGTTTAGTGGAAACCAAGAAGAGTTTGGTGGAGATAAGGTTCGACAGGGGTCCTTTGCGGTGGCCCTGATGAATCACACTTCATGAACCGCGCGGGCGCTGTCATCATGAGCGGCGGCTGACCCAAACCGGCTCACTGGCCTCCAGTCAAGTCTTGACAAGACCGGCTAGACATACGTGACTGTGTAGACATACATACATTCATGTACACACACACACACACACACACACACACACACACACACACACACACACACACACACACACACACACACACACACACACACACACACACCACACACACACACACACACACACACACACACACACACACACATATATATATATATATATATATATATATATATATATATATATATATATATATATATATATATATATATGCATGTATATGTATATATGTATATTGCTTATTTCAGCTTTTTGTTTCATTCTTGTTTTGTTTTCACACCAAGTGAGTTTTCATTTCTAATGGCAAACCATTAAGTGATTGATGACTGCTGACCTTTGACTGTTGACATGAAATAATTTACCGCAATATTTTATTTCACGAATCTTTTTTTGTGCGGAACTAAGTTCCGAATGGTGCGCATAAAGGCCGTTTAAAACCCAAAAGTAAATGTCAAACAAAAACGGGTCATAGCGGGCCCGCGCGGTCACAAAGTCGCAGGAGACCCGCGCGTCCACCAAGCCGCGTCAGACCCTTGCGGCCACCGAGCTGCGGCAGACCCGCGCGGCTACCAAGTCGCAGTCGGCCCGCGCGGTCACCAGATCCTCAGAAGACGTTCACGGAAGCTGCTCTGCCGTCTACCTCGGGCCACGGTCCACGGGTAAGCAGACTAAAGCTGTACCCCATCAGCAGCATGCCCGAACGCCAGTACGGCAGCACCAGTGCGGGCCGCGTCGCGGTTCGCGTGTGGTAGCGCTGGACCGCCTTCATCAGCGGCAGCCAGCTGCTCCGATCCCCTCCCGGCTCCAGCGGGCTGGCTCCTTCCCAGGTGTCGTTACATCAGCCTCTTCTGTCCCATATGCGCCAAACTCGGACCATCCTCCTCGGACTGTCAGCATGCCCGGCCACTCCTCTGACGAGGCCCACACTCTCACCGCGCGTCCCGACAGCGGGCGGTCCAAGGACCGTCCTCCGAACATGCGTTCCTCTGGCGGCGACGTCTGGATGTAGTTGCAGGGTAGCCGTAGTCACGGTCACGTCATCCCATCGTCGCGTGCGGACGCCTGGTGGCGAAGAATGGAAGTATCGTTGTCACTGCTGACAACAGGTGAAAGGGTACTAGGAGAGGGTGCGGCTAGAGTCCTTCAATTTCCTCGGGCATCAAGAGCAGTTTGATGCCTTTGTGAAAATATCAAAACAGCTGACATCACTGAGAAGATTTGACAATGGCTCAAAGTCTGGCGCACTATTGACGTTTTTCCGTTGTGCGCAGCGGATTGGCGCGCCCGCGGTGAATGTGTGTAGGGGCCTTCGCATTTTTGTCGTAGCAAGGCTGCTGAAGAGCACGCAAACAACGACTAACGAGCTAGTTAGATAGGCTGAAACTATTCTTCAATTGTAATGGCAAACTATTTTTATTATCAGAAGATGATTGAACTTGCCTCATGGACAGTAATATCTAAGTAGCTCTGTCCGATTTGTGGTTTTGATGTTCAGTTTCCTTTGTCAAATGGTCGGGTCAATCCCATTGTGAATCTGATGTGAGAGTAAGATCTCCATTGCCATTTGTGTAACTACTGGTGGGATGGAGAAGGCATCTCGAATTTCCAACTATCATTTTGTTGTCATTTTTTGGTTTTCATGTCAGAAACTACTGTCTGCATCCAATGCCACTTCCAAAAAACTAGGTCAGTGGTAACTTTGAGCTGTAAAAACAAGTGTAACTAAGATCATAATGAGCTAGTATTTTTAAAGGGCTGAGATTTCTTTGCTGTGGAAAGAAAGATCA